ACCTTCTCACACAAATTCCATATTTTTCACCAATTGGACACTTTATCAAACTTAGTTATTTACTTAACATAACATAACAGTTTGATTGCTTTGTTTTGTGGTATGGAATAGCAAACTTGGAATTGGAATCTGTCCAAATCAGTTTTAAGTAACGGATCTTCATATCCCGTCGGATTTGATGCTGGACAAATGTAGCCTAATATTCTTCATACTCTGCTTCCGAGATACAATGATCTTGAATGCACATTAATGTTTGACGTTAGAGCTGAAAGTCAAGCGAAGTGTTCTTAGGGGGTGTAAACTCTTGATAAATGAGACTTAGAATGTAATCATTCTGATGTCAACCATATCAAATATGCACGAACCAATCTGAAAGTTAAAACATTGAATAAAAAACCCTGCACCAAGTGTAATTTCTAAGAGGGCAAAATAAGATACCATGCCTAGAGGCCGATTATAGTGATTTCACTTAACAAGTAGACGACTAAGAATGTGAATCTTGTTTATGGTTCAACTGTGTCTATTGCAGAGCACAACAATATGACACTTCTTCAATTAGCTGGTTAAGTAACTGTTTATGATATTGTCGGTTGCGTATACTGGATATTAGTCATTTTGACTGAAGCAATGTTGGATGTTCGCCGCCATAGAACTCAAGAGTTACACCTACTTGTTCAACACTATACTTTGATTGTGCCCTTCTAAGTTCTAACAATTTCGTAGTCGTCTACCAAAACGATTGGAAATGTTTCAAAAAAGGTAGGCAAACGATGTACAAAAGTCCACTCTCTTCTTTATCTCTAAAGATGGGGTGTGTTGACCATCCATCCACTATTCCATCTCCATTATCCATGAACATGCCTTGAATAATCCTCCCTTGTCGGATTGTTGCGATATAATCATAAAAAGCTAATGTTTTATTTATGACGGGGGCCATGCACAAATGAATTTGTATACCTTGTTTCCCATGTTGGACTAGATTATTTGTTAAGGAATAATTGAGCAGAATTTTGTTGGAACATTGTTGTCAATGAATTCATCTTCTTTTGCAGTTGTGGGTTATTTTTTTACGTCGTCTTAGTATCATTTATGTTTAACTCGAATCTCTTCCTTTCGCAACATGTTGTTCATGATATTTGCATGTTAACTACATTCCTTTTTCAACGTCTTTAGTATCATTCTTTTTGACACGTTCTAAAGCAGAGAAAGAAATCTGATGCTTAGAAAAGCTATTATAATAAAGAAGACTTAACCTATGCTTAAGGAGAGGAACAAAATTAAGGTACATAAGTGGCTTACTTTAGACTAGGTTAAAGACGGAACAAATGCATAAAGTACACAATAAACTATTCACTTTGAATCATTTAGGTATTTACTGCACCATGTTTGGCTTTCTTTGTAAACTATCAAATTTAGGTATTTATTGCACCATGTTTGCCTCGCCAAAAGTAGCATCGTCGCACGCTTGTTATCATGGCCTAATCTTAAACTTTGTCGGCTCAACCTTCGTGAACGAACTGTAATGTGTGCATGCACATGTGAGCTCTGTCAGGCCTGTTTCCATTTGCAACTTAAGATAATCTCCAGTGCTACACCAAAATTTGCACCATGTTGCACCAAACTAAAATTCATCTCCAACCATTACACCAAATTTTATATCAAATGAACAATATTTAATCACTTTCTTCTCTTTTTTTATTCTTAGTGATTTTTTTTCGAAATATTATTTATTTATTTATTTTAGAAAAACATAAATTACTAATTTAGTCGAGGTGAGCGTAAACTAGCCCGGACATCCACGGTTATAAAATGCATATATATCATTACAATTTAATTCTCGAGATTCGTATGTTCTTCCCACAAATAATAATAATAATAATAATAATAATATGGTGCTACACCACTTTTGGTGCAACACTATTCACTTTTTTACCATTTTGAAATAATAATAATAATATCCTTAATAATAATAATATGGCGCTACACCACTTTTGGTGCAACACTATTCACTTTTGCACCATTTTTTCAAAATGGTGCAAAATTTGGTGCCATATCGGAGCATTTTTGCACCAAATTTTGGTGAAATTTGGTGCTTTGGTGTCCACAATTGAGATGTCCCAAGCCCCAGTTTGGTTTTGTTAAAAATCAAACTTTTAGTAGATTTTGATAAAATTGATTGAATATGTAATTGAAAAATTGATGAGAGTTGTGTATTCTACAAAACGTATGGTTGAAAATGAATTTGTCAAAAAATAAGTTTTAAGAATTTGATGCCAAACATGCGCTAAATCTCATACACAAACACAGTTTTGGCTTATGTGCTGTGGTGTATAAGCAGTATTAACAGTGGCTTCGTTGTTGTTATAAGGAGCTGTCTACTCCAAACCCAAAGGAAAAGGAAAAGTGGAGGGGAAAAAAATAAAGAAACATTGTGATATGAAGTGGGCTTGTCGCCTTGTCCCATCATAATGGACATTTTTAACCTTTTACCTTTCGTTTTGCTGATGATTTGGGCAAAATTTTTCAAGTGGATTTGACATTCATGGACTCAAATTACTCCCTTTTCTTGAAAATATTATATAATTCAACGGCAAATATTAAGGGTCCATTTGATTGTAAATGTAAAAAATATGTGGAAAGAAAATATTTTACAGAGAATTAATTTGTCTAGAAATTATTTTATTAGAAATTGTAATTAATTGTATTTGATTGGTATAATTTTTCATGGAAAATATTGAAAGTTTGATGTTTGTTTGGCTTCTTTTTTATGAAAATTGTCCATTAAAGTGATAATATTTTCTGGGTCTAGAATTTGTTCCAATTGCCAAAAAAATTTGAAAAAAAATAAACATACCGAATATCATTTGTTTGGCTTTGTTTTGCATGAAAATTGTCAATAAAAGTGAAATTTTTTTTTTTACCAATGTAGCTGGAATTTTTTCTAATTGCCAAAAAAAAATGGAAAATATTTACCCACTAAAATAGCAAGAATTTATTTTCTTCAAAAATGTGGAAATTTTGGAAAGTTGGAAAATATTTTCTCGAGAAAATTTTGCCTGTCAAACAGTACAAAAGTTGGAGTGGAAAATATGTGCTATCAAACGGGGGCCTAAATGAAAGAAATAGATTGGTGTCTACTTTATAATATACAATCTTGCTACATGTACATTCTAATTTTCACCCTAATTTATCGAATTTGCGCTTGATATCATAGGCGAACCCATACATTTTGAGTTAGGAAGACACAATCAAACTTGTAAAAAAATTGTGATGAATTTTACATTCGAAAATTTAAAACCAAAAAAAAGTATACCCTGTGTAATTTTACATCCTAAAATTTAGATGGAGTATGATTTTTTCAGATGTAAAATTTCTAAAATTTAGATGTCATATCTCATGTAAAATTTCCTAATAAAATTATGTAAATTATATTGAGAAATTTATATTACAAAAATAATAATAATTGAATTTTTGTAAAGAAAATAAGAGTTAAGACTCCTCTTTTTAAGACTCATGTTTGACAATTTTTTAACTATTCTTGACATCTATTTGGACCTTCGATATGTCTATGAGTATCTCTCAAAACGAGTTTCGAGATGAGATTTGTGATTTGTGGATTCGGATAGAGCATGATCGTCGGAGAATTTTTAAAATTATCATATTATCAAAATACTAGTTTAGAGTGACTTACTTTGACAAGCCGTGACATTTGTTATGGTTGGCCATTTCACTTACCATTAACGTGATAATCCAACAATAACTAACCAAGAAAGGGTAAATTGATTTTTGAAACTTTTTCGACACATAGTCTCAAAACTATTTATAATACAAGTTACAAATAAGCAAAATGTAGTAAGACAAGAAGAGTGTGCAAATACGATAGCTTAATTCAAGTATACGTAATTAAGGAAATATATCACAATGTAAATGGCTATGTAAGTAAAGTGCAATGACTAAAGTTAACAAGCCAATTTAATGGGGTTCGATACACAAAGTGTTCTACGTCCCCGTTACCAAACTCTCCATCTCGAGTAAGACAAAATTCACTAAAAGTGGTAACTTACAAATAAGGAGTACCGATTCTTAAGTGACTTACAATAAGAAGTACTTATCCTTAAGTGATTTATAATAAGTTGCACCTAACCTTAATGACAATTGAGTTTTCACAAGGTTCTCGAAACCGCAAAGATATGAAAGATAATTTTACAATTGAAACAACTCTCTTAACAAATGATATAATCAAGTCAAATATTTAGAGAATTAGGATGACACATCAATAGATAGCAATTGTTCAAACTCAGGTGTTTTATATTGCAAAACTTTGATGAATGATGAACTAGTTAAGATCAATGTGCCAAAGTTTTCAATTAGCGAATTTCTCTTAACAAATAATACAAGGTTAAACATAAAGAGAGATTTACACTTCAAATGAGTGTTGGCAAAGAAAAACTTTAGTCAATTATAAGATAATAGATGAGATAAAGTTTCTTTACAAGAATGGAATCTTTTATGAAGTAGATGAACAACACGCTTTTAATCAAACAAAAGATTCTTGTAATAAATAAATTGGATAAAACTTAAATAAATTCAATGATCTTCAATAAAATAAGCTCTTTAAAATTCTCTTAAAAGTTGGTATATTGAATGCAAAAGAGTTTGGTATTTATAAAGCAAAACAAGTAGCTGCAGGAACTTTCGGCTGACCGATTCAAACTTTCGATCGAGCAACTTTCAGTCGATTGAAGAGTTTCGGTCGACCGAAGTATTTCGGTCGACCAAAATGAGTAGATCTTGGATTTAAAGATTTTAATATCACAAAGTTCATTTTCCAAAATCAATTTCATTTCGAAAAATATTTTTAAGCAAGTGATGAGATATATGAAAATTAATTTGAGCTTTATACTTACTAAAAATCGACAAGTCATACCTTTATGCATAATTTTGAAGATTCAATAAAATATTTTCTAAATTTCTAATATTCAAAGATTTTGGTTTCTTCGGATCAATTTTAATTGTCTTTTGAGTGCTTGCAACAAATGACGATTTGAGCCTTTGAGTTGAGACACTTCATACATAATAACAAAACTCAAGAAACAAGATTTGTTAGAAACGTAAGAGTATTGTTTGTTATAATCAAAACAAGTGGAGTTAGATTGAATCATAGGTCAACATATCAACATAAAAAATTAGGCTGTGAACATTTCAAAATGGTATTAAGAATATAATATTTTAATTTCATTTAGCATCATATAATTTCGAAAATTGAGAAAAAATCATAGAAAAAATGGCCTCAAAGTTGGGGGCGACGTGACCCCATGCCCACCCCTGCTCGGTACAATGTTATATAATTTTTCACATCTCAAACATTTAATCCAATCATCATAATCTTACCACATCATCTATATGCCACCAAGGGTGTCAAACTTAAGTCACTACAATACGACAACGTTTGGACGTGTGTTGCAAATTCAAGTGTTGTCGTAGAGTGGGAGGGCTATGGCAACGTTTGCCAAACGTTGCCATAGACCTCTACCGCAATGTTTGCCAAACGTTGTAGTATCCATCAATGTTTGCAAACGTTGCGGTATCCATCAAACGACATTGTATACGGCAATACGGCAACATTTGGTCTTTTTACCATTTTTTTAAAAAAATTTGCATAATTAATTTATTTTATTGCAAACCTCTAAAATAGAGGTAAATTTGTTGAGAAAAAGGTGAGAGCAAAAAAAAAAAGGGAAAAAGAAAACCAAAGTATTTATGGAAATATATTTTACTTCAAATGATACAACTTTTACCGTACAATTAAAGAGTAATTTTGGAGGATATTTGGAAAATTAGATATGGATGAGTCATATTGTTAAATTTAACAAATCATAAGTTTGCCTTTTTAGAAATTTTGAAAAATCATAGGTTTCATTTCATAGCATTGTGACATATATTATTTATTTATTTATTTATACAAGAATAGATTACTTATAACTTCAATGCCAATTGACGTTATATTGAACTAACAATAAGAAGATATTTTCTATAAAAAAAAAAAAAAGAAAACAAAAAGACCTCATGGATATTTAAATTTTAATANATTTTCTATAAAAAAAAAAAAAAAGAAAACAAAAAGACCTCATGGATATTTAAATTTTAATATTATATAATCAAATCCTTAAACAAGTGGAATGGAGGCATCAATAAATTTGTTATCATCACATTCATCCATTTTAAAAAATTTCAAAAAGTATTTTTTAAATCAACTGGTCAGATTTTATCACATTGAATATTGTTAACCATCCTTGTACAAGTAGATTAATTCACAAATTCCGTAAAACGAACCAGAAATGGATGGAGAACTTCTTATTTGACAGTCAAAAAAAGCAGAAGCACAAAAAATGTAAACCGAAGAAGCAAGTGTGATTCCTGAGAATAATTTCCAACAAATATAAACAATTCTTCCAAAGTTAAGAAATTAATATTTTCAATTAATAGGTTTGGATTCACAAATCCCCTTTGGTCCTTTGCAATCAAAAGCAAACCCTCAGTTCAATTATGCTCATTTAACTTAAATAAACTTGTAAATTCAAATATTAATTTAGGTAAATAAAATCATTAAAAAGGATTTTTCAACAAAATATAATATGACTATGAAATTGCAATTTTCATTAAGTGAAAATCACATAAAAACCTCATAGATCAACTTAATCTAAAACCCTAATCAAGCTAAGAAATTATTACTCGAGGATTTTTAGAAAAGGAAAACGAGTTTTTTTATTTTTTTTAAAACTAGAATCATAATACCAAATAAGTAACTTATAATTAATAATTACAATACCGTATTATTTTCAAGAACACCAACTTCAACAAGCTTAGGTACGAGGTGACCGCTCAAATGGAGTGCCACGAGACTTTCAAACCCACCAACAAGCGCACCTCCTATGTACAACGCCGGTGCACCTCCACTTCCGCCGCCGCCATCGCCGCCTTCTGGGGCGGAGTCGGCTACCTGGTTGTTATTGAGAGCACCAATTTCGTCCTCCTCCAATTCGATGACGGTGGGGTGCACTCCGATGGTGGAGAGCAGCCGTTTCATGACGTGGCACATGCAGCACGAAGAGCGGCTGAAGATGATCACCGGGTTTTCAGAGATTAGGCGCTGGATACGCATCTCCGTCGACTCCGCCACGTCTATGGCCAGTGGAGAGGTGTTGGTGGAAGTCAATTCTAGCCTTATTCCGCCGTCCCCGTAGCGTTGGACGCCTTGCATCACCACCACTGATAAACTTTGCCGTATGTGAATTAGGGTGAAAAATAAATTTTAACCAAAAATGGAGTGATTGTTTGTATATATTGAAATGGTAACCGATGACGTCATCTTGACTTCGACCTGGAACAGAAATGGGGCCCGATGGTGGCCCACCCACGACGTGTGAAAAAGAATTCTCCGTTCATTCACTTTGAGGTGGTCCATTGTGGGGCCTACATTAGTCACATGATCATCAACAAAAACTAGGAATCCTCGTCATCATGACGTTGTTTTTTTTTAACCTTCCTTGAGGCATGGAGATTGTGGGCTCTGTAGGGTGAAACATTAGAGAGTAAAAACGGGCTATGTTTTTTGCTTTTTGGACTCGCACGTATTTGCCAGTGGGATGCCACCACGTTGTATGTCGAGTGTCTAGTTCGAATGACGTGGCGCTTGATGGGTGGGTCCCATTGCCAAAGTAACCGTTGGTGATGCTACAAATGGTGTCTGCCACGGGGATTTTTGAGCCAGAATCATGCTACAGTTTGCAGCTTATTTGACAATTTTTTTGACAATTCCTTGGTGGGGCCCACAGTATATTCAGCTTTATTGTTCGAACCATGCTACAGATCAGGATGACATTCACAGATTTTTTAATAGATAAACACATGGTAGAATTTCATTGGTTTTTGTCAAAACAAAAAGAGAAACATGCACCATAAAGGAATTGTTCGGGATTTTTATGATGACTAGGGGGAGTGGATCACTTATTTTCTTTCCCGTCATGAACTTCTCATGAATTTTGAAGATATAATTTTTTAATCATCATTATACAACCTTTATTGATAATATTTGTTGATGATTACACACTTGATAGCATCACATTTATTCATTTTAATAAGAGTAATGATATATGCAGTGAAAATTATCGATAGTCTTCATACGTGACACACACGTGACGATTTGTTATTTGGTACGTTAATGTGGTAACTTTTTCTTAACTTATGTATCAAATCACAAATTACAACTTGTATGTCATATAGGAAGACTACCAATAGTCTTCAATACGAATAATATTATTCGTTTAAAAATTGTGTAAAGACTATTTTTTATATCGATGGTCCGAATTTTAACAATACATGATTTCCAACAAAGATTGTACAGCTAGATTTATTGATAATTTTTTAAGCTCTGATTTGTTTAAACAAAAATTAGATATTTTGTAAATTTTGATAAAAGTTAACAAAATATATAATTAAAAATTATTGGTTTCATGAAATATGTTGTTAGAATTAATAATTGAGAATCAAATAGGGCTAAAATTACTTTTGATTGATGTACAAGAGTTTAATTTTGAGAATTGATGAAGTCAAGTGGGGACGACACGACCTACGTATAGTCATGGTCTTGCTAGCATCATGAATATTGATGAATTTTGAACTTGGTTTCACAATCCTAAATTTTGTTCAACTTTTATTTATCTCTGTCTCTGTCTTTCTTTTCTTTTCTTTTTTTAATTGAGACATTTGTTGATTAGCAAGTATTTTGAGATTTTATTAAATGTACATTTAGAGTTTTTTTTTTTTTAAATCACGACTCTGAAATGTTTTTAAAGTGATAATTTTTCTCGTATCTTTTTGTTGTAGTAATACTAGTCTTACATAGGCTCTCTTCTTTTTTTTTTTTGATATCCAGGTATCCTAACTTACACTAGACTATGTCCTGGACCACCCATCCCCGGCCCCTCAGTGATGGGTGGAGGTTAATCGCGGGATATGCCCAAATTGACCAGGGTCTGTGCACCCTTTATACTCCTGGCCCCAAGGGAGCCTTCCTCCAAGGATATTACATCATTAGAGTTTTTTTTTTTTTAAATCACGACTCTGAAATGTTTTTAAAGTGATAATTTTTCTCGTATCTTTTTGTTGTAGTAATACTAGTCTTACATAGGCTCTCTTTATTCGATTGTTTATGAAAGAATAGTTTTCATGTTTAGACCCAATAACATCGAAAGGTGTATATTGTGGAATTAAAACAACCAATCAATAAAAAGCAATAAGTCACTTATTCAATGTTTTTAGATGATTAAATTTAATATCAAATTAAATCCTAAGGCTGTGTTTGATTGACTTTATTTTACATGAAAAATGTCATTTTTCCATCCAAATTCATACTTTTGAGGTATTTGATTGACATTTTTTTCATGAGAGTCCTAATTGTAATTGAGTTGTAATTAAAATCAAAAGAGTTGGCATTGCTAGTATAGGTCTTGAGAGAGTCCAAAATGTCCAAGAAGATCACATATGATCATTCGAATGCAACTAGAAGTCAAGTAAGTTAAAGTGTTTGCACAAATCATATCCAAATTCTCAGCCACAAGTTGCGACGCATTTTTTACATAGAAAGCATTGGGATTTGGACAATACTATTCCTAGAAAAATTGTATTATTTTGAGTTATCTTTTCAACGATCTTTGAATCACTCTCAGCTGCAACTCACTTGGTGCTAACTTAACGCTCGAGTGACGATTCGACGATAGAGAATTCTCTTTCAGTTTTAATGCTGACTTTCAATTATATTACACCCACAAACGCTACCTATTATTTATACCAAAGCACAGGCGAACACGGCACGTGACCCCCAACTTTTGGGGGTTTTTTTTTAAGAAGTCGTGTTTGATATATATTGAAATCAAAATTTTAATTTAAATCAAAGTTAACAATTAATTTTAATAACATATTTATGAGATCTACAACGTTTCATTTTTTTATCAATATTTACTAAACATCTGATTTAATCCCCATCATATAAGGGTAAAATCATAATAAATTTGAACTTTTTCTTTTTTCTCTCACTTTCTCGCAACTCTCTCCTTTGTGCCTTTTACCAAAATCTTTACTCTCATAATTTTTTAAAAATTTTGTATATAATTTCTGTACAAATTATCACATCTTCTACAAATATTCACTTCCCAATCGAATTTTCAATTATATTAAAACCTAAATTTGCATTTTTTCCTATCAAATTGTGTATATAGAATGTGTTTGAAATAATTATGTCCAAGTTGACTTATATTTAACGAATTGTGTTTATTTGATTAATTATTAGTATTGAATATTGGTTATATGTTTTTCCTTTCAATTACTTAAATTGATTGTTTATATCAAATACACTATAAATTATTTAAACGTAAATATACATTTTCTTGTGACGAGCAAAATATTAATAAAATGAATGTTCAAAATCAAATGGATGAAAATGACGAGCAAAATATTAATGAATAAATATTTTTTAAATGTAAAACTGTGTTTTCTCGAGTCAAGAATGAATCATTAAAAAATAAACAATAAAGTATTCGATTAGTACAGAATTTGATTGTGTTCCATAACTCAAAATGTCCGCGTCCGCCCTTGTACCAAAGCCTAGATCGTCCCAAAGGTGTGTTGAATCGTTATATTACATCATAGATCATTGCTTTGAAGATCTAAACGCATGCTAGTGATTCCTTGATTCAACCCCTTAATTATTTATTCATAAATCCCACAAACGTAGTTTTGTTGATTGAGTCATAATCTTTCACATTCAATCACATGTCAAAACAATAAAAGATCATTTAATCAAACACCAAACTCTAATCGTTCTATACCAATAAACCTTCAAGTTCTGGAGATTGGAGAAGATGTGCTTGGAGTTCCGGTGAAGAAAAACGAGGTTTGTTCTTGAAAATCCACAAGAGAAAAATGTTTCTTAGATTTCTGAGAAGTGCGAGGTGTACAACCAACGGAGTTCCTAGTGATTTACAAGTTACATGATTAGAGTCAATTAAGGCTTAACAGTGTCTGAACTAGTCGTAAGTTTACTTTTCCAATGGATTTTAACTAACAAGTTTGCCTAGAGTTTTTTTATCCTTTTGCGAAATAGTTTTTCTCCGTGATCATATCCGGTTTATTTATTGTTTTTTTTATCTATATGTTTATATGATTGTTTTAACATAGGATTAATTAATTTTAATAATCTAGAAATAATTAATGCGTGACTTGTTACTTTTCATTGATTAATTCCTCACGTGAGTTTGAATAATTGGAACTTTCAGAAAATATTTTCCAAAAATTAATTACATTGTCATATTTTCCTCAGTGTTTTAAAAGACGTAATGCGTTGCGATGCGTCGAGGTCGAGAATCAAGAATCTCAAGTTTAAGCGTGTCAATGAAAAAATAAACATACACATTCACCCAAAAAAAAGATTTCAAACAGGCACATAAGGCGCGCCTACTTGCGTATAAGGGGAGCCTAATCGTGTCTAGGCGGTCAACAAAAAATTGATCGCATTTTTAAGCGCATATCATGAATTCGACGCGTTTTCACCGCGCATCGCGCCTAGGCGATGCATTTTAGAACACTGATTTTCCTTGAAAAATATTTTTTTCTTTAGGGAATGGTAGGTTTTTCCTTTTCCAGGCAATTCATTCTCTTTCTATCATATACCCCCCTCTCTCATCTATCCACTAATAAAAGATGGATAAGTGTAATATTTTTTAGGTTGAAAATTAAATCAATCAAACATATTTAATTAATATTATGCAAATTATATGTTTGCAATCAAATACACTTTAAGTTCAATTGCTTATAATTTATTTTCTTTTCATGCAAATTCTATGTTTGCAATTAAACACACCTTAAGTTCAATTGCCTAGAATTTATTTTATTTTCATGTAAATTCTATGTTTACAATCAACCGCACCCTAAGTGTCAATCATGCAATATAAATCGAAAGCGTAAAAATAATGAACAGCACATTTGGCAACGAAAGAAAATCTCTCAAAGAACTCTTTATAGGGATCAAAGATCTCCGGGCAAACCTTACCAAAACGATCCACTAAAAAAGATAACTTACAGTTGGAGTTGGTCTAGATACAACTAAATTTTAGTAGACTCTGATCACCAACTTGTAAATTACCGAAAAACCTATTCGATTGTGCAATCTGCACTTTTCAGCAACTTTGAACATCTTTTCCCCCC